AGATGTAACAAATTACAGTCTAAGCTGCAATTTGCAAGAAGAATTGGTGGCTGTCTCAGAGAGGAAAGACATCTCTAATGCCATGGGTAAGCTTTTTTATTTCTTTACTCAATATAGGTTTCTTTAAAAGTAACCAGTATTCCTGAAATCTGTACAGTTGTTATAAAGCTACCAGCATTTCTTCTGTTTTTAATTGATTCTGTATGCTATTGTTATATTTGAAAGTATATAAAATAATACAACTAATTTTTTTCTTCTTCATTTTTGGGATAGGGTCTCAACTGACTTTTGAAAAAATTGCCAAAGTACAATATGAAAGCATGATGGAACAACAAAAGTTAACAAATATTTCAAAAGAACAAGCTGAACAGATTTTAGTACTGCAAGCTGAAGTTGAAAGACTAAGGATGAAAACATATCCTGCTCTTATTCCAATGTAAAAACACTGGTGGGAAACACAAGACCAAATCAATCATTTAAAAATAATTTAATTTGATCAAAATGATTTTTTGTTCTTTCATATCAGGAAATTTAAGTAGAGCCTCTTCTCAGTTGCATAGTTTAGTAGCAAATTATTTAATTTTAGCCTTAATAATTATAAAAATGTTTGTCATGCATAAATAAATGTATAAAATATGAATTATTGTTTTCAAGAATGAGCAAGATTTTTACTCAGTATTCAAGAGCTATTTTATTTAGTTTTAATTTTATCAAAAATTATTTTCACAGTGATAATATAGAAAGTCTTAAAGATAATAGGAAATTATTTTTAGCCACAAGTGACGTTTCTAATTTTATAAATTACCTGATGTTATGATGAAATTATGGATGATTTTTATACTTTTCTATATTTTGTAAGTTTTCCTCAATAAGCATTTATTCTATAGTCAGAAAAAAAATTGCCAGAACATTTAAGATTATTCCTTCTTCTAGCAATGAGAACATGGTAAACTATTTACTTTTATCAAGCCCTAAATCATTCATAAATTATGACATTTTTTGTACATAACATAATCTTCTGCATGTTATGTTCATTGTAACAGAATTCAATTTTGTGTCCTACCCAATTGTTTAGCAAACAGAAAAAAAAATGTTTTTTTTATTTTCATGAAAAGTTTATTGCTATGTTCATGCAGATGAGAATGAAATCATGAGATTAACAGGTCAGAAACTGCTTTGCTCTTCCATAGCCTGTGGACTGCTACATTCCAAGATGCTACCATATGAAACACTGACCACAATCTTCAAGTGATGTCAATGTCTCATTGTTCTGCAATTTGTGAATTAATTGTTAATTTTAATCTGCAACGCCATGTCCAATTTACACTGGTGTAGGTAAAGCAAGAGAGCTACTATAAAACCTATTTAGAAAAAAATATTTAGGAGATTTAAACATTCATTTAGAAATTGCCAGGATAATACCATAATTGATCACCCATACACTGATCAATACTAGATGGGAATGGTAAGAGAAATAATATGACCAACATTTTTGATGACTTCCCTCCTTAGTAATAGAATTACTCCTGAAGTAGTCAGTTTTTTCTGATTCAGCAGGGAAGTGTCATTGGTAACATTTTCTATATCTAAAGTCTTTCAAAATTATCTGACAAGGGGGTTCTGGGGGTGGGGCATGGGAACATGGATCCAAGTGTGGATAAGTGTGTGAAGAATACAAATACCTTGTACATAAGATAGGATTGACAGTTCTCTGTCCTGTCAGTTGGAATCAACCATGAATATACTAGTCTTCCCCCCTCCCCCGACTGGTGATACAAATTCCATGTCAACTAAATTAACTTCCTGCAGGCTCTATTTGCTAATAATCAATGCCATAAATTTCAATGGACAATGCTCTATGAATTCCAAGGTCCTAACAAACCAGTCTGTGTGATTTCTGTTTCTTAGTAGCCGCCCTGGGTGACTGGCAATGCTTTTTGCTTGAATGCCACAGCTTTGAGACATGTATAGAGTGGAGGTTAGCAGGAACCTCTCGCCCCTCCCTCTCTCCCCCCCCCCCCCCCCCAACATCTCAAAAAAAAAAAAAAAAAAAGAAAAGGAAAAAAAGAAGAAGAAAAACATATCCTCAGGTGAGGATTAAAAAAAAAAAGGATGAGTGCCATGAAGCTAAATGATGAATGTCCTAACAGGTTCAGATTATTTTCATGTATCATTAGCAGTCAAGCAGAACTTTCAAGAGGAGGTATCCTCCTCCGGTTTGGAGGATTGTTTATGGAAGGGCACATGGGTCATGCACCCCAACCTACTTTTGATACTGTCCATGGTACTGATTCTCAGCTTCTGCTGAACTAACAGCAATTATATTTTATAGCCCTTTAAAATATTATTTATATTATTTAAAAACAGTGTAATGAACTGGGTCAAACATAGCATGGCTTTAAGCATAGCACTTAAGAATAGGGCTCTGGTACTGAGTTGCCTGGTTTTAGATCCTGGCTCAGGCACTAATTTTAAATAACTAGTTTTTAAATAACTACTTGATCTTAAATTTCCTTGTCTTAAAAATTGGGATGTTGAATGAGTTAACATACTTTTTAAACTGACACAAAACAAGTGCTGTTAGCTTTCATTTTTCCGAATAAAAATGTTATTCAGGCCCTCGCTGGTTTAGCTCAGTGGATAAGCATCAACCCAGGAAATGAAGGGTCCTGGGTTTTATTCCAGTCAAGGGCACAGTTGCAAGCTCCATCCCTGGCCCCACCTTGGTTGAGGCATGTGCAGGAGGCAACCAATTGATGTGTCTCTCTCATGTCAATGTTTCTCTCTTCTCTATCTCTCCCACTCCCTTCCACTGTCTAAAAATCAATGGAAAAAATATCCTCGGGTGAGTATTAACAAAATGAAGGTTTATGGCAACACTGCTTCAAGCAAGTCTGTTGGTGCCATGTTTCCAACAGCATTTGCTCACTTCATGTCTCTGTATCACATTTCAAATTTTTTTCATTATTATCCTATCTAATAAAGAGGAAATATGCTAATTGACTGCCACGTCATCAAAGATGGCGGCGCCCACAGCCAATAAGGAGGGGATATGCTAATTGACTGCCACACCTTTAAAGATGGCGGCGCCCACAGCCACAAGATGGCGGCGCCCAGTCCCCTCAGCCCCGCTGGGGCAGCAGGTGCTCCTGCCTCTGGAGTTCCCCAGTCCCCCAGGGCCAGCCCGAGGCACAGGCAGGCCTTGGATGGCGGCTGCCCAGCTGCCCAGGGCCACCTGAGGCTCAGGTAACCAGGGCCAGCCAAGGCTTGCGCTGCCGGCAGTGGCAGCAGCAGAGGGGTGATGGGATGTCGCCTTCCCCTGATTGCTGGGTCACCTCCCACCCCTGAGGGCTCCTGGACTGTGAGAGGGGGCAGGCCGAGCAGAGGGACCCCCCCTCCAGTGCATGAATTTTCATGCACCAGGCCTCTAGTGTATTATGATCTGTGATCAGTGAACTTTGATGTTACTATTGTAATTATTTTGGGGCGCCACAAACCATGCCCATATAAGATGGTGAATTTAATGGGTAAATGTGTGTGTTCTAACTGCTCCACTGACTGACTGTTCTTTTCCTTGGGCCTCCCTACTCCCTGAGACACAGCAATGCTTAAATTAGGCCAACTAATAACCCTAATAAAACTAGAAATGAATAAGCTTAGTGAAGAAGACATATTGAAAGCTGAGATGGGCCAAAAACTAAACCTCTTGTACCAGTTAGCCAAGTTGCACTGGGAAACCAAAAAATTCATGACTCACTTTATTGCGGTGGTCTGGAAATGAGCCGTTTATAATACTTCTGAGGTATGCCAGTAATGTATACCATTAAATGGAGGTGAAATTCAACAGAAAAGATTTTGTAAAAAGAGACCACCTCATGGGCATCCCTATGCCCCAAACTCTCCCATAAGCCTGATCCATATTCCATAACCTACTGTTACTAGAGAACCCACTATGCTGTTGGAGCCCTCAGCCTCCAGCCAATGCCTTGGAAATGCCCATTACTGTGCCATCTACTCTCTCCAACTCTCCTAGAAGCAGACTTCCACGGATGCTGTAGATCTCCCAAGTGAACATGTAAGAGTGACTCCAGGGGTTGCGCTAAGTGAGCAGTGCAACTGCAGTCAAATGCCAGCACCATCAGCAGCTAAACCGCTTCTCCTGCCACATTTAGGCCCTCTGGCTGAGCAGCAGTTGATGGAGGCTGGTTGGCACAAAACAACACAGCTCCCCAGGGCCAGGGGAGGCACATGTGAGGCCTAGGCCAGTCCTCTTGGTTCAGAAGCCAATGACAATGGCAACTTCAAGAAGGGAGGAATCTATGTATTGGGGGAGGAAATAGGTAGGAGGGAGGTGACCGAGTTTACTGTCATGGGCACTAACAATTAGAATGGATGCAAGAGCACAGTCCTTGGGTCTCCTGCTATGCCAAATATTAACAGTTTGTTAGGTCATTGGGAGGAACTGGGCTGAAAATGGGGTGCACCTAGAAGAGGGGAGTCTACAAGTAGGGAAGTACTTTTTTTTAAGTTTGTTAGGTTTTTTAAAAGTAAGTAAAGCTGTTTTCGCCCTTAAAAGGACCCAAAAGTAGAAATTCAGAAAGCTCTCAGGAAGGACTGAAAGTGCACCAGCTTCCAAGTTTACGTACAATAGCTTCAGCCACAAAGAAATGAGCTTTCTTCTTCCAAGCACAATTCTAAATTCTCAGAGACTGGGCCAGCTTGGGTTATTGTACATGGCCAGGATGACATTGTATGACAGGGCAGCCAGAAACACAATCCTATGAAGATGGGTTTCTGGCTGAGAAGTAACTGTGAACTAAGTAGACACTCCCATCTATTTCACAGATGAAGCTAGAAAGGGAGATGAATCCAAAAGACCTTGTAGGCCATAATGCCTTAAAGTAGGAGAAGATGATATGTGGTTTTGTTAGAGATAGATGGCCATGTCACTAAATGAGATGAGAAATACAAGAAACAAATTTGCAGAAATCGGAAAAATATAATTTTGGACATACGAGTTTACTAGTAATTACCTAATAGACCATACAGATGGAAATATGTGGTAAATTGATGGAAACAAGGTTCATAAACTAAGGAGACAGGCAGGCATTTTAGACCAGTTTAGGTTTAGTCATTCACCAGACTGAACTACTTTTTAACATTTAAAATAAAACATTTTTATAATAAACAAAACAATATAACTGACTTCCAAAACTGCCCAAATTATGTTTTAAAACATGATGTAATTTTTTTTCACATATCTTTAAATGTCAAATTTTTTGACAGATTATCCAAAATACTAAATTTTCATTTTAGAACTTACATATTTATCTAACAGAGTACCCTAAATTGATGTTCATCAAGATATCTTCTTTTAAGCCCTAATGGTTTATATCTTCCCTTTAAAATGTGTAAGTATTTGTTAAGTTGTCATCCTCAAAGATATTCTGGAGAAAAAATTAGTAATTAAACACCTATAAATTCTTCTTCATTTCTGTTGTAGTGTAATAATTTATCATCTAACCCATAGTAGTCTATCAACTGAGTAAGGCTGAGTTTCTTGTTCTCCTCAGACATAGCTGACTGCAACTCATGAAGCAACAGTTGGCTACAGCTTCTCCACTTCTTTATTAACAACTGTAACTGAGACAGGTCATTCTGAAACAGGAAAAAAAACATAAATGTATGGCAATAACTAGACAGGCATCATATTTTAACGTAAGTTGTTAAATCAGTGGAGTAGGTTTAAAGGGTACCAACATACTTGATCATGAATGAGCCTTCTACCCAGGGAAAAATAGGGTGATTTTTACAATGACACTCCAATTGAGTTCTAGGGTATTTTGCTTGGTGAGAGCTCTGGGCCTCTCTCAACACTCAGGGAAAAATCAAAGCATTAAGTAGGGCAAAACTATGTAGAAAAGCAACAATAGGTTTCTATTACAGCTGTACTTTTAAAAATGAAATATTCAAATTATTTTTCAACATTCACTATCTCATAAAACTCAAGTAGCTATATTTAGAAAAATCCTAAAAATTCAAGATAGCAAATAAGATATACTATTCCATCATTTATTCCACATTGCTAGCGAAGGAGAAATTGCAGATATTTGAATGATCCAAGTAAATAAAGGTTATCTTCTTCCAAGGGCCCAAGTTCTATTTAATTCAATCTATCTGGGATGAAATCTAAAGTATATTTGTTGTTTTTTTCAAACAAAATGCCTGGAACTTTTAATAATTTGGAGGAATAAAAGATCACTACTAAAAATACTTTTTATTATACTCTGTGGCCCATGTTTAACTTTTTAAATCATCCACTATCAGCTGTCACTTCTGTTCTCATTGTACTTGCATCTAACATTTGATATTTCTAATATTGCTACATGCTAAAAACTTCCACTGCACATTAAACAGAGGGTGGGACTTTTAAAAAGTTGAACCTGGTGTTTAGAGGCCTCTTCTACTTTAAATCTGACATATTTGAGTTAAAAGTTGTTGGAAACCAGGTTTCTGAATACTTGGCTTATTGCTTATTATGCTAAAAATAATTTTCTCTTTTTGAAATGACTTTCCTATTATTTACCTAAAAATAAATCTAACAATTTAAGAAGTAATTATGCAATGACTCTGAAATTATCCTCACCTTTGATCTATACATTTTGACTAGTTTTAGCCTCCTAAGAAGGTCTTCTTTCTCCTGAATCTGTTTCACCAATTTTGCCTTTTCTTCATTTAATCCTTTTGGGGGAAGATTCTCATCAAAGTCATTCTGGAGATCACTACAAGAGCCAGTATCAAGTGATTTAGATTCACATGCATTGATATTCTTGATGGTATTTTTCAAATATGAACTTTCTTCAAATTCACTGTCTATGTGCTTAAAATTATCTTGAAATTCCAAACAATTTTCTTCTGTTGAACATGATGGTTTCTCTGGAAAGGTCTGATTGTTTTCTTCATTCTCTACTTTAAGACGTTTTACCACACTGTAACAGGAATTGAATGAAAATCTAGTTTTCCTCAACCGTTCTCTAAGTGTTGCACTCATAGGCTGTAAAAGGCAGAAAAACATTAATGTTAATAAAAAATATTCTTGATGTAAACAAATTTACTAGAACTAAAGACCTTACATTTCTATGGCACACACCACTATCTAGATGGCTTTCTGTCTCCACAGATCTTAAGTAACCATCACAAAATGTCTTTAATTCCTGGAAGCTCCATTAGTTTTATTTTAGCAAAGTCATCACTCTTCTACAACAGTGCTGAGACACTTATTCCAGTAATCACAAACATCTGTTCAGCAACTTAGCACATGCCTGACCCTGCTCTAGGTGCTTCAGTTACAAATTTTGGAATAGACCTAGATCCTGCCACCAACGACCTTCATGGCACTGCAAATTCAAACTTCTTCAATGTGTAATAACCTGATCTGAAACTAAATAATTGACTCAAAATGAAATTTTGGGGGTGGGGAGAAGTCAAATATATTATCTTAGAAGATCTAAAATCATTTAATACACTTATTCATGCTACACATGATGTTAATTAACCATCTCCAGTAGACTGAAAACCACCACTGCCAGAATCACTAGAAACATAGAACTGGCCCACTGGAAGAACTACATTTTCATACTTGCTTTCTTGAACTACTTGTATGGGGAGATGGTAGATTGGCACAGCCCTGTGGAGTGCGAGGTAAAATCACAGCTGAGTCCGAAGGACTTTCCATCTTGAAAATGTTATCGTGGTTTACTTCTAAAAGACAAAAACAATCACAAAACGGAAATCAAATTAACCCCCATCTCTATAGACTCCCGTCTTTATCAAAGTATTTTTTTATTATAGGTAACATCAGCAAGTAAGCCAGCATCTTCCTCTTTCACTTAGCTGTGATTCATCACTGCTTTTTGCTGTTGTTTTCCATTTACCCTCCTAAACAAGGTTGTGTTGGTTCACATGGTGACTACTAGTTTTTTCATGACAAATTAACTCGCTAGCGTCTCATATAAACAAGACTCTCCATTTGTTTTCATATTCAAAACCTGCCATATGGGGAGAACAACGTTGGACAGTTAAGAATTCTTTAATTTCGTTCTGCCAGCTTCATAATGAGAGGAAATAGAACTGAAATCTTGCCCCCAAAGAACATGATCAGTCCTGTCCTACCACCCTGAACCTTAAAGGCTGTGCGACTGGAACCAATGACCCTCCAGGACCTAGGGATAAGGAACACAACCGCAAATAAATTTACGCCTGTCTGCACCATTTCCGTTTAAGTAGCGAAAAGACCGTGCAAGGGAGAGTCCACTGAGGTTTGTTTCCCCGAAACAAAGGCATCAACTTTACTGGGGGAGGTGGGGGAGGAGAGGGAGTGAGGGGGGTCGCGGGGAACAGAGGAGTCCTCCCCTCCCTCCCACCATTGCAGAAAACCCCAGGCCCGAGTGCAGTTGAGAGGTCCCCTGACCGCGAAAAGACAGCGCTATTCGACTGCACAGCGGACCCCAAGGCAGTTCAGCTTTCACACAGCTACTCGCGAGCCCGGACGCTACCTCCCTCCGCCATCCCCACAGCGACGGGAACCCGCCCAGCCCCTGCCGGGGGCGCTCTGGTTCCAGGGACAGAGCCTCGCGGGACGCGGAAAAGCGCGCGATTGGCCGGATTGACTGACGCGCGCAGCTCAGCTTCACCCAGCTC